TTTAAATAATGAACAAAGTCTTACTCTATTTTTGCACATATTCGTAAAACTCCATTCGAACGTCAAGCTCTCGTTCAGCACTTATTGTCGGCAATTAATATTTAATCACTTAATTCCGAATTTGAATGACAAATTTCTTTTAAGCTTTAAATTGTATCGACTATTTACAGCGCAGCTTAACTATATATGTCTCTATGTATATGTGTCTGTCTGTGTGTGTGGGCTTAACTCGAAAAACTGGCGAGTCTAATTTCCATAGAAAATCCTTTAAAATGCTTTAGACTCACTTTACCAGCCAACCTGCCACAACAGAATATGTTTTTATGCGCCTAGTATTGCTGCCACACACACACACACACACACACACACACAACAACTCGCAACGATATTTGAGTGATATTTGAATTTCAAATGCATCAGCACCGGCCAAAGATAACATTTTATTTGCGAATTGAAAACGAAAATAATCCTGCAGCTTCAGCCACAACAACAGCACACGCACACACACACACCAAGTAACACCCARGCACAACGACGTTTAGGTGCACGGTGTTTTGGTGTTTTCGAACGRCAACCACACAACCACAGCCACGGTCACACCAGCGCAGCAGACAGCCAACAAACAGGCGAATTTTCATTGTTTCCGGCAACGCTTCCTGTTTCCTGCGCTCCCCACACCCCATCCAGCAGCAGAGGTTATCACACACACACACACACACACACTTCACTCACACACACACACATCACACACTCACACACACATATAAACACACTCACATCTAAGCAAATAAATAAATAGACAACATTTACCGAGTATACATATATAGATACATTTGAGGCATGCCACAGCAACAAATCTACATGCAACATGCAACATTAAGGATTCAGCATTCAGCATTCAACACTCACCTGACGATGCCATTTTCAATTAAATCCAAATTGTTTAAAATCTGATCAAATATTACATTTTTCGAGTCCAACACACTGTAAGTGACATTGAGTTCCAGCAACTGCGACARCAACTCCAAWATGGGCGCCTGRACACGTGCATTCGATTTGAGGAAAAGCTGAAAATATGCGACAATTTACAAATACAATTTTATTCATTCGTTTTCCTACTTGTCTGTCTTTAGTGTTTAGTGTATAGTGTTTAGTAGTGTGTGGATGTGTCTGTGGGCGTGTGTGTGTGTGTGTGTGTGTGCGTGCATAAATCAATATATTAGGTAGTAGTTAGCAATGTGTAAATAATAAATGTTTACACTGAAAGCTGTGCGGCAAATCTGTTGAGGGATCATTTCAATCAGCTCACCAACGCTCCGTTGCCACACRGGCAACACACCAACACACAGCTGGCAGCTCTTGTGGCCTTTTTGATTATATTAATGGCCGTCTGGCCAAGTCAATGTTGCAACTTGTGTGTCGCACACACAGCAAATGAGTAGTACTGTAGTTCGAGTGGAGGTGGTGTAGGAAGTGATGAACCCGAAGTGATGAACTCGAACCAGAGAGGCTATTCACACCCATCGAATACCGAAGTCTAGCTGTGAACGCTCTAATTTATTACCGTAGATAAGGAGGATGATGCTACGACGACTRTGAGTGGTGAAYGCAGAACGAAGTAGCAGCTGYGAAGRGTGAARGCTTGTGAGGACAAAGAAGAGTACKTCCSGRGGGGTGATRTGCTATAGGTTCTAGTCTAAACGCTGAAACTTAATTTCGGCATTTAATATATCAGTAATCTGGAGGATGAAATCATCTGTAGAAGTTCACGCAAGTGAGGAAAGYTTGCCATTCACTTGGAAGTGKCCAGAAATKATTCTTTAGCATCTGACTCAAGCAACTCACTACTTTCGGTCTTAGACCAAGTAACTTTTTGTAGCCAAAGAACATGCGTTTGAGGCAAGCTAAAGTAAGAAGGCGAACCGGCCATCCCGCACCATGGGTGTGCGTTGGGTTTGGGACCAGCTACGTGAAACACGCCGCCAATGAAAGGGAAACAACAACCTTTCGCTGTTGTAAAGAAGAAGAAGAATATGTTACAAGGTGCTCTGATATTATCAATACAGAGATTTTTCAAATCATTACCCGCAAAGCCGAAACTTCCCAGCAGTGAGACCAATTTACTTGTGAGAGGCAGTAGAGGAAATCTCAGGAGACCTCTACCAAAGAAGCTGGAAGAGCTTTATTGCTGTCGGGTAAACGTATTCGGTTTTAGGAACTACTGTGCTTTATAGGTAATGGCGGTTCGGCAAGTATCGATTATATGATTCCACATTTCACTTGGGAAAGWAAGTTCAGGGTGARCTTAGAAAAAGACTGTGGCGCAAAGTTATATTAACTGCGCACACCATATTAAACATGTAAACGAACGGCTCGAAAATGGAGCACCGAGATAGTCCACTGAAAATTGCGTTCAGTATCCATCGGAAATTGATCGCATCTGAAATTTGGTCGGTATATTGTCCTAGTTCGTCGACATTTTGGAGGATTGAGCGAAAAACTGCTTTAAGAGATGTGTATTATGCCGGCCTCATAATGCGGACCTCGCTATAAAGATACTCGATGAGAGGCATCCGAAGTGCGGTCTTACAGTTMTGTATCTTCTCCATCTGGAACCTGGTGCAAGCAGGCAAGCATGGCGTAGTTAATACCGGCAGGTCGACTGCCTTGAATGTTGCTAACAACGGTCTTTTGTGCAGAGTGAAGSAGAAAAGGCTTTCCATAGCCACGAGGTCCAGTCTCTGCTCTTACGTCCAGTTGGTAAATATGGTGACCGTGGATTTGGGAGCAGAAAGTATCAAGGTTCTTRCAGTGAAGAACGTCRGTTCTACGATATAYGGAATCGACCCGGACTTTATGCCCCCGAGGGCTCTTATTTCGAAGGTCTAACCCTGTTTGTATTGGTAAGATACCGGTATGGACACGGAGTTTATCTCGCCGCGGACTGTTATTTCTRAAGTCTAGCCCTGTTCGGATCGATAAGTAATAGGAAAATTGTCGTTATTGTAGCTGTAAAATTTTGCCGAATTGACAATGTTCGTTCCGGTTACGTAGACCCGACTGTCGTGGTAACGGAAAAGGAAAATTGTCTAAATAAACGTTTCGGTTGTAGTCTCCACAATCTTAAAAAAAATCTTTAAATGCCATACCGTATTCACCAGTGAGTGTAAATTTTGTTAATTCAATTATTTTCGAACTCAMTGAAATGCTTGATTTGAAGGCTCGAACCACCGAAGCCATATAAAATGTGGCTTGTAGGCTATAAATGGCACACAAACAGCTTGAAAAGTGTACATACAGTCTGTCAGTAGGTGCGTCTGGCACAACACCACCAGAAATTTACATATAAACGCACACTTATGCATAGATGTTTGTATGTATGGATGCATGCATCATTAAGCGAGAGCGTAGTATAACTGTATACTCACCATGAGACAATAGATTACCAGCGGCTCAAACAGTTTAATATGCTTTACACAGTCGCCGGCACGCTCCGACTTGGCAGCTTGCAAATTTAGGCCGCTCGCAAATAATTCGCCCATCAAACGATAATACTCTGTAGCCGACAAGTGCGGTTGATTGTGGTCGTCGCCACTAGCTGCAACAGCTGCCACACTCACAACGCCACTGGCATGACCGGAGTCAATGAGCGCCTGACCACGGTTGGCATAAGTCGCTTGCGCTTGTGCACCAATTACATTTGGCTCATTGTGTCTGACAGTTGACGTAGTCATTGTCGGGGTCGACAAACCAAYGCCTGCCGCGCCCTTGAGCGCGTTGGTTGAGCCATCACTTGTTGTTGCCATTGATCTCGGAACTCCTACAGCTGCGACGGTGGAAGCCAAAGCTGTTGCARCAGCGGAATTTATGGCATGCAACATAGTCATTGCCTGCTGGTGATCGCCACTGGCTTGCGTGAACTTACTGCTGCTGCTGCTGTTGCTTCCTCTACGGCTACTTCCCTGCTGCGCGTGTTGCTGTTGTTGTTTGTTGTATGTTGGCCACTTTGTTGTTTGTTGTTTGTGCGGACTTCGCTGCTGCTGCTGTTGCTGTTGCTGTTGCTGTAGGTGTAGTTGCAGCTGTTGTCCTTTGCTGCGCACCACAAAATACGGCCTTATGAATGTGGCATAATAGTCTCGCTGCTGGTTGCCATAATTTTGGCNTTTAAATAATGAACAAAGTCTTACTCTATTTTTGCACATATTCGTAAAACTCCATTCGAACGTCAAGCTCTCGTTCAGCACTTATTGTCGGCAATTAATATTTAATCACTTAATTCCGAATTTGAATGACAAATTTCTTTTAAGCTTTAAATTGTATCGACTATTTACAGCGCAGCTTAACTATATATGTCTCTATGTATATGTGTCTGTCTGTGTGTGTGGGCTTAACTCGAAAAACTGGCGAGTCTAATTTCCATAGAAAATCCTTTAAAATGCTTTAGACTCACTTTACCAGCCAACCTGCCACAACAGAATATGTTTTTATGCGCCTAGTATTGCTGCCACACACACACACACACACACACACACACAACAACTCGCAACGATATTTGAGTGATATTTGAATTTCAAATGCATCAGCACCGGCCAAAGATAACATTTTATTTGCGAATTGAAAACGAAAATAATCCTGCAGCTTCAGCCACAACAACAGCACACGCACACACACACACCAAGTAACACCCAAGCACAACGACGTTTAGGTGCACGGTGTTTTGGTGTTTTCGAACGRCAACCACACAACCACAGCCACGGTCACACCAGCGCAGCAGACAGCCAACAAACAGGCGAATTTTCATTGTTTCCGGCAACGCTTCCTGTTTCCTGCGCTCCCCACACCCCATCCAGCAGCAGAGGTTATCACACACACACACACACACACACTTCACTCACACACACACACATCACACACTCACACACACATATAAACACACTCACATCTAAGCAAATAAATAAATAGACAACATTTACCGAGTATACATATATAGATACATTTGAGGCATGCCACAGCAACAAATCTACATGCAACATGCAACATTAAGGATTCAGCATTCAGCATTCAACACTCACCTGACGATGCCATTTTCAATTAAATCCAAATTGTTTAAAATCTGATCAAATATTACATTTTTCGAGTCCAACACACTGTAAGTGACATTGAGTTCCAGCAACTGCGACARCAACTCCAAWATGGGCGCCTGRACACGTGCATTCGATTTGAGGAAAAGCTGAAAATATGCGACAATTTACAAATACAATTTTATTCATTCGTTTTCCTACTTGTCTGTCTTTAGTGTTTAGTGTATAGTGTTTAGTAGTGTGTGGATGTGTCTGTGGGCGTGTGTGTGTGTGTGTGTGTGTGCGTGCATAAATCAATATATTAGGTAGTAGTTAGCAATGTGTAAATAATAAATGTTTACACTGAAAGCTGTGCGGCAAATCTGTTGAGGGATCATTTCAATCAGCTCACCAACGCTCCGTTGCCACACRGGCAACACACCAACACACAGCTGGCAGCTCTTGTGGCCTTTTTGATTATATTAATGGCCGTCTGGCCAAGTCAATGTTGCAACTTGTGTGTCGCACACACAGCAAATGAGTAGTACTGTAGTTCGAGTGGAGGTGGTGTAGGAAGTGATGAACCCGAAGTGATGAACTCGAACCAGAGAGGCTATTCACACCCATCAAATACCGAAGTCTAGCTGTGAACGCTCTAATTTATTACCGTAGATAAGGAGGATGATGCTACGACGACTRTGAGTGGTGAAYGCAGAACGAAGTAGCAGCTGYGAAGRGTGAARGCTTGTGAGGACAAAGAAGAGTACKTCCSGRGGGGTGATRTGCTATAGGTTCTAGTCTAAACGCTGAAACTTAATTTCGGCATTTAATATATCAGTAATCTGGAGGATGAAATCATCTGTAGAAGTTCACGCAAGTGAGGAAAGYTTGCCATTCACTTGGAAGTGKCCAGAAATKATTCTTTAGCATCTGACTCAAGCAACTCACTACTTTCGGTCTTAGACCAAGTAACTTTTTGTAGCCAAAGAACATGCGTTTGAGGCAAGCTAAAGTAAGAAGGCGAACCGGCCATCCCGCACCATGGGTGTGCGTTGGGTTTGGGACCAGCTACGTGAAACACGCCGCCAATGAAAGGGAAACAACAACCTTTCGCTGTTGTAAATAAAGAAGAAGAAGAATATGTTACAAGGTGCTCTGATATTATCAATACAGAGATTTTTCAAATCATTACCCGCAAAGTCGAAACTTCCCACCAGTGAGACCAATTTACTTGTGAGAGGCAGCAGAGGAAATCTCAGGAGACCTCTAGCAAAGAAGCTGGAAGAGCTTTATTGATGTCGGGTAAACGTATTCGGTTTTAGGAACTGCTGTGCTTTGTAGGTAATGGCGGTTCGGCAAGTATCGATTATATGATTCCACATTTCACTTGGGAAAGTAAGTTCAGGGTGAGCTTAGAAAAAGACTGTGGCGCAAAGTTATATTAACTGCGCACACCATATTAAACATGTAAACGAACGGCTCGAAAATGGAGCACCGAGATAGTCCACTGAAAATTGCGTTCAGTATCCATCGGAAATTGATCGCATCTGAAATTTGGTCGGTATATTGTCCTAGTTCGTCGACATTTTGGAGGATTGAGCGAAAAACTGCTTTAAGAGATGTGTATTATGCCGGCCTCATAATGCGGACCTCGCTATAAAGATACTCGATGAGAGGCATCCGAAGTGCGGTCTTACAGTT